CTTGAGAATTTGCGAGGGAGCTCATTTGTATGTGAATTGTTTTTTACCGTCCTCAGTTTGAATTACGGCTTCGGAGTTTTATTTTGTGAAATCTATTAAACTTCTTCTGTTGATTGTGTCTCTGTCAATGTTACCTTTTACCATGACATGGAATTCTGTGCTAAATTACGTCGAATGAACAAAGCAGATTTTCTGGGGATATCTACTATGTATTTTCTGAATCACTAGAATACTACTGAGTTGACTTGGTAATGTGGCTTGTGGTCTATATTTGAGAGCGCTGGAAATATTAACGCACCTTTTCAGTTTAAAATTTGTTTCTTTCTGCTCGATGAATACTGGCTCTGGTTCACGTGTTGTATATGTTGAATGCTCTACTATTACTATTAGTTGCACTTTGTAAGTAGTTTCATGTTTTGGTTGTATCAGACAAGCAAAAGATGTTATAAGAGGTATAAAGAAGCGTCTTGGTAGCAGAAATCCAAAAGTCCAGCTTCTGGCCTTAACAGTAAGCTTAATTTCATTTCTTCAACATTTCATCTGTATGGCATATCAGACACAAGAATGGGCTTTATTGATCCGCTTGATCTATGAAAGAAATGCATCGTGATGATTGTGGTCACTATTTCACTATGACAGTTGATTGATATTGTGGCATTGTGGGTGATAATAGTTGCATGTAATGAGCTTCTTTTGTAGGCAAAACTTAAAACGTGACGTCACTCTCCCAACCTATCAAATTGTAAGTGTACTCGTATTTTGTCTGACATGAAATGCAATTTTAGTATTAAATTTGAGTGCACCTGATTATTAATGTAAAACACCAAGGTGGAGCAATACTATCCATGATTATTTTGGTGGAGGTTTATAAAGACAGCAGTTATAGAATGAGGACAGAATGAATGTTACAAGTCTGGTCTGTACGTCCCTTTTAGGAAGGTGATGTATGGATTATTGTCTTTCAGATAGTTCTTGATGACATGTTTTCCGAAATGAATGTTTAGAAAGAATAAATGTGCTGGAATGAGTATTTGCCTTTAGATGCTACTATTATCCCCTATCTTGGAGGACACATCCTTGTACTCGAAGAATTTATGTAGGTCACTTAATCAATTGGAATTGGAATGCATGCATATCTTGGATTTTTTTTTTCTCCTTTACGTGCTTTTTAATTCTCTTTTTTCTTGTAGAGGTGTCATTTCCTTGTAATAAGGACATTTTGTAAGTCACTCAGTCAATGAAAATACTTTTGTGCATGGTATATAGCTGTTGGAGACTATTGTGAAGAACTGTGGTGATATTGTCCATATGCATGTTGCCGAAAAAGATTTACCCCATGAGATGGTGAAAATTGTGAGAAAAAAGGTACTTTAATTTCTAAATTAATGTCGAATGTGTGTGTGTGTGTGTGTGTGTGTTTTAATCTTCTCTTTCTCTCTAGCTTTTGCAACTTTTAGTGGCTCAAAAATTTGTTGCTGCAGCCAGACTTTCATGTAAAAGAGAAGATATTGATTCTAATTGATACCTGGCAAGAAGCATTTGGAGGACCAAGGGCAAGATATCCCCAGTATTTTGTGGCATACCAGGATTTATTGGTATGCGATTGTCAGATCTTCTTTTATTAGTTTAATTTTCATTTTCATTCTTCATGCACTTATTGAATATAGCTTATGACTATACTTTGCCATTTGCATCCTTTCATCAGCGTCTTGGTGCAGTTTTCCCTCAGAGATCTGAGAGGTCTGCACCTGTCTTCACACCACAGCAATCACATTCGTTGACATCTTATCCACCAAATCTCCGTAATACAGAATCTGGACCTGATGCTGCTGAATCTTCTTCAGAAGCTGAGTTTCCAACATTAAGGTGCATTATTCTATGTTGAGCAAAATTGCTCTTTGTCATATAGCTTAATTGCACATGGCAACCTGTATTTGACTAGAAATATGAAACAAGCTATTTCCATATTAGCTTATTATATCTTGACATGTGGTAAAAAGAGAGTTTGTGGTCTTCCGAATTGTTTCAATTTTCTGAGAAAAATGCGTGAAAAAGTACAAAGCTATTAATTAGTGTTTTGGTCTCGATTATTAAGATAAGCAGGGCAGTTAAATCACACTGACACCATTCATGCAACTTGCATAAATTGTGCTTCAATGATATGGTGAACGGAGATCTTAGTGCCTTCTCCTGATGACAGAGTTATAACCTGTGGCTGCTGTAACGGTGTGAACAGTTGAGTGTATAATGATATTGTTATTATCAGGAGAAAGTTTGTGTTTACTGAAATGCGTGTTGGTTTCCGTGTATTTAAATTGTTATAATGTTTAAGAGATTCTGTGTTGAATTTAATATCTATGGGCGCTTTACATGTGAATAAGGCATGAATTCTTCGTTGTTATGGTGTATTATTGGAACCTTGTGAACCTTGCCTTTTACATTGAGAAATGCTACATTACCAACCTAGTGTACAACACAAGTAAAAAACATCCACAAAAATAAAAATAATAAAATACACAAGTGGATTTGTGTTGTCAACCTAGTGTACAACACAAGTAAAAAACATCCACAAAAATAAAAATAATAAAATACACAAGTGGATTGTGTTGTCAACCTAGTTGTACACTAGGTTGGATATGTATCATTTTTCTTTTACATTTGCTATCCATGAAATTTGTGGATGCATGATATCTTGCCTGGATAGTATAGGTATACTTACTGGAGGTTTTCTGTTATTGATTCTAGCTCTTTATTTTTGGTCCTGCCTTTTATATCAGCTTGACAGAACTTCAAAATGCCCGTGGTATCATGGATGTTCTTGCTGAAATGCTGAATGCATTGGATCCTAGCAACAAAGAGGTATGATCGTATACAGTGAACTACTTTTAGCTAACAGTCATTTCTGCTTGAATGCCTGAATGGTATTGTGCATCAACAGCCGATCATTTTCTTTGTTTGTTTGTCTGTTTTTTTTTTTTTTTTTTTTTTTTTTTTTTTTTTTTTTTTTTTTT